CTTGCGGAGGTGGGTACGGCTGTGTCGGAGGAGCAGCAGCTGCTGAGGACAGGAATGTGGCTGCCAAGCGCCCGGGTGTCTGCGGGGCAGATGAGATCCAGCGTGACCGGCTGCAGGGAACACATCCTTGGTGATAAACAGCAGCCACCCACCATTTCGGGGGGTTCCAAAGGTCACCGTCCCCTCCAGCCCTTTTGCTGACCGCCCCGTAATGCTCCACCAGCTAACATGGATGCTCAACCATGTGGCTGTGCCAGCAGGGCTGCGGGGCCGACAGCAGCGGCACGCTGTCCGGAGCAGACCCCACCGGGGCAGCAGGTGCTGCAAATTCATCAGGCCACAAATTCATCTCATGCCCCAACTCTTCGCTGTTTCTCTGCTGCAATATTTTAACTCATCTGCTTCCCAGCACCATAATGCAAAGAAAAAGTCCCGAAGGTGGCCAGTAAAGTCACCCACTTCATAGGGTTCAACCTAGGTTTATAGGTTCAACTGCTCCTTGTCTTGTTCTGTGTTTTTTTTAGAAAAAAAAAAAACAACAAACCCAACAACTGCTGGCATTTCTCCCAATCTCCCATGGCCCTGGGCCAGTAAAAGTCCCCATGGAAAACACCATGGAAAGCTCACAGACGAGAGAGCGCAGACACGGTGTCACTGCCGCCATGCCACAAAAAAAAAGAGAGCGGCCACATCCCAGCAGGAGCTGGGGCAGGGAGCTCAGTTCAGAGGTACCTCAGGAAAACAGAGATCTCGGGAGTCCCAGCGGGAAGTCCTGTGTCACCATCCGCGGTCTGGGCACTGCCCCTGCGGAGGGGATTCCCCAAGGCACTGCAGCACAGGAGTGCAGAACAACAGGCGGGAGATGGCTGGAACGGGGCGGCAGGACGGGGGGTCCCTCCGGACGGTCACTGCGCGTGGAAGTAGATGGGCTTGACTTTGCCAGACAGGATCTTGGGCACCTGCACAGAGATGATCTCGGCCATCATTTCGGGGTAGTCCACGCTCACCATATGCGCCTTAATTAACAGGTCAAATGTAAACTGATGCAGATCCTTGGCGATCTGGGAAATGAAGAAAGGTTGTTCAGCAAGAAATGCCCAGGCAGCGGTTCCTTGACAGCGAGCAGATGTTCGCAGGGGCAGCAGGTCGGGGCTGGACCTCGCTGCAGTGGGAATGACTTTCTGCTTGCAGACAGATAACTGTATGGGCACGGAGCTGAGCCCCAGGAACGAGGAGAGGGCTGGCTCACGGCTCCCCAGTACCCCTTTCAGTCACAGAGAATTAATTTTCACTGCTGGAATCAGAGAAGATTCATTGCGGGCACTGAGCTTTTGAGCTGTTCTGCCAGGCTGACGATGGAAAAGTATCATCTACAAAGATTTTCACTGCTAAACAAGGAAACCCATAGCCCTGGGCACAAGGGTGGCAATTGCAGGGGGTGACACACACAGTAACTTCCACCCCCCCAGTAGTGTCTGTCTGTTCTCTGTCACTTTAACTGGGAGCACAGTGCAATACTGTCCCTGCAAACACGTGCCACGAGTTAAAAACTAAACCACAAAGAGACATGGACTTATCGAACAGCCCAGGCTGGAGGGGACCTCGAAAGGTCACCCAGGTCCAGCCTTCCCTGGGAAATGGGCCTGGAGGAGACCAGCTCGTGCCCTGTGCAATGGCACCACAAACACCTCCCACCATGGGGACTGCCACCACCCTGGGGAGGTTGTTCAGAGAATGATCACTGTCACTGTAAAAAGTTTCTTTTGTATATAACTTCTGATGTGTATAGACAGACACTTCCCTGCCCTCTCTTACCGGATGCACGGAGTCAAGGACCTTGGTGAGCTGGTAAAACCGCCGCGAGCAGGACGCAGGGTTCTTTCTCTTGCAAGCGATGATACGGTCGAGTTCCTTAATGTAATTCATCCGAAGTTCATCAAAGAGCTTCTGGTTCTTCAGGCCATCCACTGGGACTGGAAGGAACATGGGAAGGAATCAGTAAGAGCTGCCCAAAGAGCGGTGAGAAGAGAAGAGCAGGAGGCAGGGACAGAAGGGGTCAGTGCAGCCCCAACAGGACAGATCTGCTGCCAGCCCTGCTGCCACCACAGCCCCCGCTCTGACTGGCTCGTCGGACTGCTGCTCCCCCCAGGACCCTTGCTCAGCCCTCGTTATAGAAGAGAGGCAGCGTAACGAACCGCAGAGCTCTCCTCCTGTGCAGCAGCTGACGCTCGGAGCTCCCTGAGACAGTAGCAGCCAGGCTGAGGAGCAGCGTCCCGCGGGAGCTGCACAGGGTGGACACTGGCACCCTCACGCTTGGCAGCTCGTCGTCTCTGAGCAGCTCAGGCTGAAGCAGAGAGGAGAACGTGCAAAGGCATCCCATGGGAAGAATGAGCACATGCACAGGGAAAGCACCAGATACGCCGTATCGCAAGTGGGGGTCAGCTCAGGACAGGATGCAAGTACTTACTGATGCTGAAGAAGAGCAGAGCCTTCATACAGAGGAACTCCTGGGGTGTGATCTGGAGCCACCCGAACTCCTGGGAGAGGTGCCGCATCCTGACGCATTGGCTGTACATCCTGGATTTGTGCATGCGGTATCTGAGAGGGTGAGACGGGAACGCGGGGCTGGAGATCAAAGCGCCGATGGGGTGATGGGGGGACACACACACTGCCTGACCCAGCGCCCCAGCCTCGCCTGGCATGTCTCCGCTGCCCAGGACCCCGACTCTGTCATCAGGGACTCACAACACACGTTTGTTTCTGTTTCTGCCTGCTCCAGAGGACCAACCACACTGGAAACAAGAACTCAAATCCCCCGGGAAAAGGGCAGGTCTGTATGGACCGGCCCCTCGCACCCAGCACCAGCACTTGCCGCTGCCCTGATGGACATCAAGCCCAAGACAAGGCTGAGGGACAGGGCAGAAGGACCAGAAGACATTGCAACTCTCCCTGTTGCTCCCGGAGACCAGCAGAGCTGTGCGAGGGGAAGGCAGGGCCCTCCTGGGCTTTGCTGGGCAGCTCCGCAAGCACGACTGCTCCAGCCATTCACTTTGTACGGGAATGCAAATTCCTTGTCTTCTTCTCATTTGTCACCTCGTCTGACCCAGACAAAGCACAATATTTGATTGTTGCTATTTCGCACTTACTCATTGAAGACCAGATCCGGAGCGAAGTACAGCATCCTGGAATTGACGTTGGTGAAAGATCTCCAACCCATAGCGAAAACCATGAGGGCCATCCAGGAGTACTGGATTATGGACATCTGGTCATCCACGTGCAGGTTGCGAAACCCTGTTAAAAAACCGAGAGAAGGACATTACCAATTAACACCGGGTTCCTGCAGCCACCCAGACTGTTTTGGTGCAGACCCCAGCTCTCCCGCAGCACTCCTGCTACGACAAGGGGGGTCCCACAGCCCAAGGGGGTCCCACAGCCCAAGGGGGGGTCCCACAGCCCAGCCGGCTGATTCAGCTCTGCTGTCAAAGACACAACGCGTTTATGTAAGGGCTATGAAAATGAATATGAAAACCTCTGCCGAATCGCAAACTAAACAAAAAAATCAATTAAATTCTAATGAGCATTCCCAGATGGCGGCTTGCGGTTAAATCCCCCGGTGTGTTCACAAGTGCACAAACATCACTGCCAAGGCTGCACTTTTTTCCAGGTACTTGTAAGTAGTCAAATGTAATCTGGCTTCAAGAAAATCGTACATAATCAAATATTAAAGCATTTCTAACACCTCCAGTGTATGATTATAACGCACTGAGCCAAGCACTGCCTCTTGCTTGGGAAGCTGTCACTGCACACGCGCGCGAGTCGTGTTTTATTGCTTAACCACCGGTGTCTGCTTCTCAGCGCATCTGGGGAAAGCGGTTGTTGCTCCTAATCTTTGCTGTGAGAAGGATTTTGGTGCGCTTGTTCATTACCTTGTCATTAAGTTCACTGAAAAAAAAAAATATTTGCGCAAGCTTTATCAGTGTTTAAGGAAAAGTATTTGAACACAGCAGTTGTGTTGCTGCAGGACTTACAGTTTGCTTTCTGCTCATCCATGTAAGCAAATTCTAGAAACATAGTGGCCAACTGTTCTAAAAGGAGTCACTGTTTCCAGTTCCTGAGCGGAAACGCCTTGAAACAAAACTGATTTTCAGAAACCAGACACCTGTCATGTCCTGGAAACCTCCCCACTCCAGGCATCTTAGATGATGTCTGGCCAAAATCACTGTAAAAGAAAATAAATACAACCCCAATGCCACCGTCGATTGTTAAATATTTTGTATGGGCATATTTTGAAGAGACCGAAATGAAGATACCGTGTACAGAAAGCAATCAGAGTAAAAGTAAAATTCAATTCACTGGTGACTTGAAAAGATCAATGCATAACCTTTTGCTTGTGAATAGTCTTAAACCAGTGCAGTTTGGAAAGAAATCCTTTACATTCTCTCTTGCTGCACTGCTGGGCCAGAGCGGTATCTTCCTAAGAGATCAGCAACCCAACACCTCCCACATTTCCATCCAGTAACATTTCCAATACAAACTCTCCTTTTGTATCCGGGAAATGTTATTGTCCAGAGAAGGGAAAAAGATGCACACTTCATTGTATCCTTAAAGGGTGTGTTGGATGCATGCCAGGCAGCACATTTGGAACAGAAAAGCAAGTGGGCAATGGCCCGAATGCTCACAAAGCCCTAACGGCAGGTACACAGGCGTTGTGAACAGTCCATCTCCCACGCCACCAGGGAGGATTTCAGCTGACGACATGGGCACCGAGCTGCTCTAACGTGATGATGGGCGTCCCTCTGCCCGACCGGCAGCAGAGCCGCAGCCCACCGGTGTCCGTCCTGCCCCGTGCACCCTGCCTGTGTCTGTCCTGCCCCGTGCACCCCACCTGTGTCTGTCCTGCCCCGTGCACCCCAGTGGTGTCCGTCCTGCCCCGTGCACGCCGCCTGTGTCCGTCCTGCCCCGTGCACCCCCAGCCTGGTTATCTCTGGGAGCCTCATCTCCTAACAGGGTCAGGAGGGAACAGGAGACTTTTCACTTGCTGCCAGTTAAAATGATCTTTAACCGAATGTGTCTGAGCGCCGATCTAAATTCACTGTAACACCCCCGCTGAACTGATATCCATGGAAAAGGGAAAATACATACTCCTGCCACTTACCTGGAAGTGGAGGGATTTTATGGATTTAATCAGATTTTTTCGTTTTGTGTTTCAGCAGCTTTCCTGGCAAGCTGTGATTATTTAATGTTTCCCGTCCAGGGAAGCCACAGTTTGATTCTACCTTCTCCCATGCAGAATTTCAATCACACAGCATCCAAAAGGCCATACATAAAATCTTCTCCACTGAGGTGATATTGCTCCTGCAGGCACACAGGATTCAGAAATGCTCCCACCTGATGCTGTCTTGTTTCTTTCTAGGCTATGAAACCTCGCTGGAAGATGGGCAGGAACACCTCGCTGCATATTAATCACTCCTGGTACGCAGGTGATGCTCAATGCAGGATGTGAGGTTAATAATCACCTACTAACCAATATTAATCTCCTGCCAGTGCTATCAGGCTGAGGTTTCCTCTATTACAGGGGCAAGTTCCCCCTGCTCTCACCAGCAGCAGTCCCTGGGAAGCAAACCTTTTGCCCCTTCACATCAATCTGTACCTTAGCTGACCGGCAGGGCTGCTTGTGCCCAGCTACACCAACGCTGCTGCCCAACGTGCTTTGCTAATGGGGAATGGCCGGAGGGGAAAACATTTCCTGTGCAGCTCTCCCAGCCGCCCCGGCCGCCTCACAGGTGGGACGGAGCTGGGTTTGGCTGCTCAGCCCCAGAACACCCGCGAGATGCGCTGCGGCGGCGGCCGAGCCCCCGGGTCTGCTCCCGTCGCACCTCGCCAGCAACGGCGATCGTTAAACAGCCTCTGGTCTCCCAACAGACCGAGCAAAGATCTGTCTGTTTTGAGAAAAACAATTGCGTCCCGCTGTTTTAAATTGCTCGGCTTCCGTTTCCATGACTTCTCCCCTGCACGCGCCCGCCGAGCACTGGGCTGCCCAGCCCGCCTGCAGGCTGGAACCGAAAACACTCCGGCTTTACTAACCAGAATAGCACTGCAATAAACTACAGATAGCAAACTACCTCTGGCTATGCAACTCTACCCAAAAAGCACAGCGGCCAGAGCGTGCACAGGGCAGGGCAGGGGAGCACTGGGGCATGGCTGCCCGCTCCAGGGAGCAGGAGCTCAGCGCCGGCAGAGCCTGGCAGTGGGTGGGATCCACCTCGGAGTGGGATCCGGGCAAAGCAAAGGTGCTGCGCAACCACAGCCTGGGGCTCAGAACAGCCACAGCACTGTGGTTGTTTATTCCTTCCCTGGAAAACACCAGGAGAATGACCACGTGGCAAATTTGTGGTTGTTACTGTTGAACTCCAGCATTGGCACATGGCAGGGGACTGCTGGAGAAAGCTGGGAAAACAATCAGGCTTTGCCTCTCACTCCGTGCACAGCGATGCCGACAGCCAGGCAGGGATGGGGGAGCAGCCAGGCAGCACCCCCCGAGCGCCCACGCTGGAAAGCTGGGCTCTTTCAGGGTCCCCTGCCCTGTGGAGGGGGCTACAGTTATGCTGTAACCACCCAGGGAGCAGTGGCTGCTCACACATAAGATCAGAATTAATTTTTCCCGGATGCCGGCGCTGGCAGAGGGAGGCAGCAGTGTCCCAGCCGGCATTGTCGCGCCGCCACACACTGCAGGGTCAGGGACCGGGAGCAGTACAGGAGAGTGAGAGCCTTTGATAAGGGGGTGGTTACGATGAAAAACATTTTTCAAAGCACTCTCCCCTTCCATTAACGCTACTGTGGTTTTACAACCCAGCCCCAGCACTGCCAGTCAGGTTTGGTGAAGGAATCCTGATGTCTGATGTAGATAAACCATAAAAGAAAGCATGATTTGACCCTGGTGCCACAAGCTGAGTGAACCTTTTCTGACTCAAGAATACAAGAAATAGAATGGGCTACTCTGTGTTAGAGTGTATTCAGACCAACACCCCTCCGGGGCCACCGGACCAGCTCCTTCCAGGGCACTGCTAAACTGGGAATGTCCAACATCTGACTGCAGCTCATCACCCAGTTTTGGAATATCGTGGCAAACTTACTCTGCCTCGGTTTCCTCCTTTGGTCACATCACCCTGCACACAAAGAGCAGGATCCCTCTTCCCTGTGGCATTCCCCAGGGAAGGCAGCTTGGTGTCATCCCCATACCCTGGGCGCAGGGATGCTGAGCTGGGTCCCGCTGCACCCGGAGTGATCTCAGTCCCCTGCAATGTCACTCATCCACCAGCAACAGGCAGCAGGTTACAGATGGGTAACTGCAGAACCAAGGAGCGCATTCAGTGGAACACATCCATCACTGGCATGTTTACATTTCCCGCACCTGAGAGCTATCACCATTTGGAAACCTTCCGGCTCTAATGCACTCCCATGTCACAAACTCTGAATGCACCATGAATACATCCCAGCCGCCTGTCACGCACGAGCAACCTGCCTGCCAGGAAGAAGCCCTTTGGGATTTTGTATCTCTCTTCCGCTATTCTACAATTAATTAGCTTGTGAAATACAAAACTGGCCCTGGAAGAGGAGCAAGACCCCCATGGGGAGAGCAAGAGGAGAGCAAGACCCTGAACCCCCAACCAGCGCCAGCCCCTCCTGGGTGGGGAAGCCCCGAGACAAGGCTGCAGCCTGGGGGACAGACCCCAAAGCACAAGTTTCTCCGTCCTTTGAACCAGCCACCCCAAGGAGACAGACCTGGTGCTGCTTTAAGGAGAGATCGTGCAGCTGGGTGCTCGGGGAAGATGCTCCCCCGAACACCTGCGGGATGGGGGGACCCAGGCTTCAGACCCCCTCCTGCGAAGCAAGGGGGGCTCCAGGAAGGTGCCAGGAGGGGATGGGATGTGTCAGGTTCCTTCCTCACCTGGCAAGGCCTTCGCCCATTTGACCACGTAGACCAGCTGCCGCTCCCCCAGCTCGTTCAGGCTGGTCAGCAGGTTGGAGAAGGAGTCGGGCTGGCTGTTGTCGTGGCCAGCACACACCACACCAGGCTCGATGGCCTCCAGGACGTTGAGGAAGATGGGCTGGCACTCGTACCCATCAATGCGCGTCATCACCATCTTGGGTGCTTGCTCCTCAGTGGGACTCGAGGAGCTGCCTGCCTCTAGCTCGTCTTGTGTCTTCAGGTTACCCAGCTTCTTCAGCTTGCGGGCTGTGGAAAGGACACAATTTCGTGTGAGACTTAAAAATTAAAAAAAACAAAAAAAAAAACAAAAAAAAAAACTTCAGGTTTCTTGGCCTTCAGCTCCATCACTTATATTTACGAGGACAGGAAAACTGACGACCAGCAGCAGCTACACCTCCAGCACACACCACCCAAAGAGTGCCCGGCATCCCAGACCTCACGTATGCACAAAGGAGCACACACTGTGCAAGGAAATCCATTTGCTCGTTAATCTTGTAGGGAGAAGAACAAGCATCATTTCAGTCTTGGCTGTGACTGGTCTCACATTAACTCCAACTTAGAAATGGACAGGCAGAACCAAGGAAAAGAGAGAAGAGGTGACCCCATCCAAACAGCTACTCACATGCAATTAAAAGGGAAAGCAATGCAAGCAAATAAACTCAGTAAACAGACACATTCCAGGGAAAAAAAGCCATTGCACTCGGATGCTCAGGTGGGATTGCTCCATCCCAGGCCAGAGCAGAAGCGGGATGCAGCCAGGAGAAAAGCTGTCCCAGCTGGGGCACTGCTCTACAAACACATTACGGAAAATCCACTTTCAAAGCCAGCAGGTGGTTCCAGGGCTGTTTCCCAGTGAGCCCACCGATGAGGAGAAGCCTCAGTCTGCCGGCCAGCTTCCAGGGGAACGCTGGCAGAGTGGGGCTGGGGCTGCAGCAGCCGGCGGCTGTGCCCGTATCACCAAAAGAAGGGTCTCTCCTGTGCACCTGGCCCCTCATTGCAGATGCCAGTCTGCTAGCAAGACACACAGGAGCTTCAGATGCGGGAGTGCAGGATTCCTGGAGAGTCAGGGTTCCCCTAATCTGGGATCTGCATGACAGCGCTCAGCGCAGCACAGGCGGGCAGGCTGCTGCAGGCAGGAACAGCTCTCACCCCTCACCGACTCCAAAAACCCTGATTAATTAAAGAAAAAAAGCCAATCGCTTAATTCAAGCAGAGAATACAACAGCAAACCAATTGTCCTTGAGGTTTTGGCTCCTTCATTACATGATACTTATCTCAAATTTCCTTTCAGCTGTAATTAGAAAAATAAGCAGCAAAACATAAAAATGTCAAGTTAAAGTGCAGCTTTGTAAATCAATTCAAAACGCTGATCTCCAAGTAATGGACTTTGGCCGATCTGCTGTAGGAGCAATTAAGACAGACTGCTCTGTAAAAAAGGAGAAGAGAGTAATAAAAATAAGAGTGAGCGGCAGCAGAGCAGAGCTGCAGTGCCGCATGCCGTCCCTCGGCCATCGCTGCTGGGGCGTAGCCGGAGCCCCGAGCCCACCCCGCAGGCAGCACGGGCAGCACTGGGATCCGGCAGAGCACCGACACGCTCCTCTCCCACCCCGGAGCTGAGCCCGGGACAGGCAGGGCCCCGCTCTCCCGGGGAGCTGCGCTGGGGCTTGCTCTTGACAAGCGGCACGGAAGGAGAGGAGCGCGGGTGGGAGCCGCGATCCCAAACACCGAGCGGTGACTCGGGAAGGAGGCAGGAACCATGTCTCATGGTCGTGGCTGGCACCAGACCTTTAGAGCTGGGAGTGCTGCTGGGGAAGAAAGCTCCCAGGCTTAAAAGAAGAAATAAAACCTGAACTGTATCTTCCAAAGATGAACACTCAGCACCCATCAGGTCCTGTGCGTACACGGAGCCAAACCCACACCGTATAATACACACACATGGCTTGGGTTAATGTTAAAATCTTTTTCTTAAAATCGAATTATGAGTACTAAAAGATACTGAGTGAAGTAGGAAGAGAGCAAGTGAGCATCCATGCCGGCTGTGAGACTGCAGCCGCAAACCAGCCGAGCAGTAAAGGTGGATGGTAACCGCCCCAACCAGAGCAGCCCTGCAGCCGCCCTTTCCAGGAGCAGTTGCTCCACAGATCACCAACACACTGATGTTCCCAGATGGAGAAAAGCTTCAGAGGTAACGAGCAGCTTATATCCAGTCACCTGGGCAAAACCCCTTTTTGGTGGAAGCTCCTACTGAGGAGCTACCGGGAACAAAAAACAAAAACCAGAAATTAAAGACAGCTGTTATACTTTTATTCTGGGGTGAGCTAAGCTAGGCAGAACTCTGCACGGTACTTCTCCAGACTAAGGAGGGATGAACCAGGCACAGGGAGCAGGACGGGAGCACGACGAGGCTCGGGGAAACCTCTGCAGGAGCTGCTGGCACCGCACCGCCCTGGTCACCCATCTGGCCGGGGCAACAGAGAAAACACCGCGCAGGTTTGGAGAAAAGCTCAGAGGACATAATCCTAGGGCACCATGATAAAATATTCACCACTGCAAGAACCCCTGGAGCACACTGCAGGGTGGTTATCAAAGCGACACGCATGTTAAGGAACCGAACCCGCCTGCCTGGCACTTCCCGAGTGGCTTGAGGATCCAGCACAGAGCTCTGATGAGTGCTGGGACTCGGGGAGGTTCTGGAGACCTGGACGAAAACTGCTTTTCACTAGCAGCCCCAGGGTTTCAGCTGCAGGCAAAATGTCAGAGGAGCTCAAACAAGACTTGACTTCTATCCTGTTCTCTGAAATTTGTATTAACATCAACATGCGGCTTGTCAAAACCAGACCCTGCCAAGCTATCAATCTTTTCTGGCACGGTAATTTTATTTGATAATTATAACAGTACTGTGTAACAGACATGTTTAAGAGATCTGAGTCAGTCTGGCCCACATGAATTTAAAAAACTCCAACGATATCAAATCAGACAGTACCGCTGAATGATTTTAAATCACCCAGGTGAGACATCTCAAAAGTAATTATAGATGTTGAAACAACATCAGACAGGTTTGTTTCTTAGGACGGTTGTTCACAGCCCTTTGCTAGTGAATGTCTACACTATCCAAACAGAAAATTAACTGTTTCACAGCAGGAACAGCCTGCAGGCACGCAGCCCCTGCATGGGGCAGGATCCCCGCATGGGGCAGGATGCGAGCAGCCGCGCGGGCATCTGTGCTCGCAGCAGGACTTGCTGCCGTGGGAGCTGGAGGACAGTGCACCAGCAGAACCGAGCACACAAAACCCACATTATCACTTTCTTTTTCCTCCCTCTCTTCGGCCTTACAGTGTTGATCAGGAGAGAAGACTCTGTTTAATGGATTTCAGCTTGCAGGTCAGAGTGATCTCAATCAATAATGAAGTGCTTCGACGTATCGCCTGTTCTGTGCCAAAGCAGAGAGCCCTAAATCCGGCACTCATGTGTCACCACCTCCTCCACCAACCACCCCCAGCTGCAGGACTGCTGGTCCCAGGGGCCCCATTATGCCCCACAAGTGACTGGTAATTAATGGGCAGTTAAACCCAACTGTCTGGAGCTTGGGAGCATTTTCAAATGCTCTGCCTCTCCACTGTGGGAGAAATAACTGTGGACAAACCCCTAGCGTGCAAGTTTTTAACAATCGCCTTTAAACCGACATTCAAAACAAATGTAAAACAGACCAGGCAGAACAGGTCGGGGTGACCCAGAGAGCTTCAGGAAAAAAAAGGAAAGGGGGGGGGCTATCAGTATTAGCATTAACTTTGTCAGCGTGTCCTGCAGGAGAAGGTTACACTGATGTATGTCTTCTCTCACTTGAGGAAATTTCACCAGAAAAAAAACATTTAAAAATAAGAGCGTGCTTGTTTTGGATGGCGTTATGAAACCTCCTGCTGGCTGCGGACCAGGGAGCTGGGCTTGGCTCCTCACCCCAGCCCCAGCTCCAGAGCCCAGCAATCCCTCGGGCAGGGCGGCAGCAGGGACATCCCAGCCCTGACCCTCCTGGGAGGACCAGGGAAGGGTCCCGGAGGAGTCTCCCTGCTTCCCCGGGAAGCCATGGCTACCAACGGCCACCAGCAGCTGTGAGAATGATGGCCATTGGGATCTGCTGCCAGCGGCAGGCAGGGCTCTGGCCAGGCTCTGCCAGAACTGGGGAAGCAGATACTGGAACCAAGACGGAGACAGCACCTGGGAACTTCAGCAGCAAACTGCTGCTTGGTGGTGTCAAGGCACCTCGCTGTCTCCCATGGCTCTGCATCACAACCCCTCAGAGCCGCGTCCCCCTCGCTCAGATTTACCAGCCGCTGAAAAAAGGGGCCGGCTGGCTGTGCCCTGCCCACTGCACGGGTTTGTTGGTACCCGAGCCATAAGCACTGTTCTGGGGACAAATGCAATGAAAACCACTGCTCCTCGATGAGCAATAAACCAGAACTGTTCTGGCAGCAAGTTCCCCAAGACAAGGTTCCAGCAGCTCCAGGAGGCGTTGCCCATCCCAGCAATGGCAGAACTATTTAAACTAAAATATGGTCACATCCCACCAGCCAGGGATCCCCCGCACCCCTCCGCGCTGTACCACCCCTGACCGCCCCCCACTTCACTGCCGGAGCTGCTTCATCCTGGGTCGGATCCATCAGCCCTGTTCTTCAGGGTATTTTCTGCCTCACTCTCACGTCAAATGCACTCAACAATGAGCCACCCAGTGATCTACATTGTAGCTTCCAGATTTTGAGCAGAAAAACCTCAGATTTTGGATACAGGCACTCTGTCAGGTTTTGGTAGAGCTACAGGTTTTGGAACAGAGACAAACGGGAACAAGGATCTTTACCGGTGATAAAGGAGCTACTTCCATTCAGTGAAGCAAAATCCTGGGGCTGCAATTTTATAAAGAAAAATGCCCCTTTCTGCCTGGGAAAAATAAAGTGGAAGCGCTCTGTTCAAAGAGGCTTTGGTGTGAGCGAGAACCCAGCTTACCCGTCCGTTTACATTTTTTCAGACTAACAAGGTTTTAAATTAAGGAAAATAATGTTTCCTGAAACTCAAACAAAACTTTAATGAAATTCACTGTTTTGGTATTAGAAACCTGCAAATGTTTCCTAAAGCTCATTACGCTCCATCAGCCTCACTTATTCAGACCATTACTGCCTATTACTCTGCCAAGTCCGTGCGTTATCTGCAGAACCAGCCCGGCTGCCCCAGCCCATCGCAAGCACCTGGGGACGGTATTTGGACTGTACCTCCGAGCGTCATCCCCGCTTCGTAGCACTTCCGCAGGCGGCAGGACGGGCAGTTTTTCCTTCGGAATTTGTCGATGGTGCAGTCGTTGCGGCTGGCACAGAGGTATTTCTGTTTACCTGCAAACACCAGAGGAGATGACAGATTAGTGGTGGGCACCGACCAGAGCAGGTTTACATGGAGACATGGGCTCATGCTTCCCCAGCATCGCCATGGTGATGGGAAATGATGGGGAAAGGGAAGGGAAAGGGAAGACCATATCAGTGACCACCCTGCGCTGTGCAGCACAGCAGGGGCAGCCAATAAACAGCAATTTGAAAGTCATGAAATAGGGGTAGTTGGGTTCTCATTTTTTACATGTCATACAGCCACCCTGTCCCCCGCCAGCCAGGAGGACGCAGGGACCAGCGATGCCCTGCAAGGGAACCCCTGCGCAGCAGCAGGTTCAGGGGGCTTGCAGAAAATTCACAAGTTAGTTATTGTCAGAGTAGCCAGTATCTCAGACTCACCTTCCCACTTGTTTAGAGAGCAGCCGCTAGAGCACCAGGTTTCAGCTCCTTTTTTGTTACTGCCTCATTTGCTAGACCTGCCAAGAAGGAACTTCCCTTCCCGGCTCATCATTTGTTTCGTTGTCAAGTCTAAACACGTTAACTGGATCAGGATTTATCTGATGTTCTTCAGAGAGTTCCAAACTAAACCAGCCTCAGTAAATAACAGAGCTGTGCACCTCTGCAAAAGCATGGGCAATCTGTCTACATCCAGCTTAACTTTTATTCATCATCCTGCAACTGTTTGCTTTGTATGTTCTTACAGGAATAACGCTTCGGAGCCATCAAAGAGCCATTAAAAGGATGAGGTTGAACGCAGCCCCTTGATGTACCAGTTTTGATAGGAGGTGCACCCCTTTTGGTGCACTGATTTCACAACTCCACCTCCTCCCCACACATCCACAACTTCTGAAGATGTTGTAATCATAAAAAGTGGCAAACTTTTAGCAACCCAGTATCACAGACCTCACCAGCATGTCTCTTGCTTCCCTATCCCAGCTCCAGCAGCTTTGTCTCCTGCGCCCGTGGGCGGGAGGAGACCTCGGAAGGTCCCACCGCTCTCCCCCAGCACGGGCTGCAGCTCCGCTGGCACCCCCGGCCCCACCTGCAGCATCCCACCTGCAGCGGCTCATCACAGCATTGCAGAAAATTCCTTATAACCAGCTTTGTGTCACGCTGTGCGCACGGGGCTGCGACAAAAGGGCTACAAAATACCACAGCCTGAGCTGCTCGGGACCTTCCCCATTCAAAGCAGCTCATTACACCATCCCAGTGCCTCGGCTGTTCCGACTGGAGACATAATGGGGCAAGAGCGCATCGCCTGCAGCACGTGATGCCCTGCTAAATCCTTTTAACACCGCTCCCATCAGCACCTCTTCGCACTCCCCTCCCCTGCTCATTAGCAGTGTTGAGGACACTCAGACAAGCCTGGGGAGCAGCGATTACCGCAAATCCCAGGGAACACAAGCACCATCCTCCCTTTCAGCAGTTCATTGAGCAATAAACAGCTTCAGCAGAAACTGGGTTACTTGGAGTTGTTTTTGTGCGATGGGAGAGGAGTGCTGAAGCCATCCTCTCTCTGCTCGACTTCGTTAGGTGCACACATCCCATGGGCTCAGATGAACGAACACAAGCTTTAAGCGGCAGTCAGCAACTCGCCCCATGGCCATGGTACAGTGACTCTGCTGAAACGGCGAGGGGCTGCTTCCTGGTTCACCAAATAAACTCTTTGGGGCAGGAACCGACTTTCTGTTAGCTGTACATGCAGAGTCTGGCACTGTTTGTTTTAAGCTGTTAGCCATTAACAAAAAGGGAAACAAATGTTCATGCAACGGCTTTTCACGAGTCTGCTTCTGCTCCATACAAGAATAAGCTGCTTGCTCATCTTGTCCCAATTCCTGGGAATGTGGAGATTCCCCTTTTAACTACTGGAGAAACCCGGCACCCTCATCACTGCTGTCCCCAGCTGTGGATATGGTTTGTGAAACAAATCCATGACCCGGGAGGGGGACCACAGAGTGTCACTGCCCCAGCAAAGCGACTGTCCTGAACTGCCTGCGCTCGCCCCATCGACCGTGATGGCCAGGATGCTCATCACCTCCGGCGCAGCCCAACACACCATGGGACTGAGCATCTCTGGGGCTTACACTGGCAACAGCAGCTTCTCTGCTCTGTTGCACGGGTGTACCCTGTCCCTTCTCTTCAAGCTGGGACGAGGACGGCTGTGTCACCTGAGCACAGCATGGGCACACAGAGGGGAAGGTGCCACAGGCTGTGAAAGCCCAGAGAACACAGAAGGGTGGCTGGAACACTGACAGGTTCCATCTGCCTTAAGTAACTTCTCATATACAGAGACTTGGTTTTAATTTCGGGATAATTTACTCTTTTCACTTAAGAACAAGTCGAGACATCTGCAATCAACTGTTCTTTATCTAAAGAGAAATACACTGGTCTTTGTTTTACCAAGTTTAACACTGGTATAATTTATTTTCTCATTTTCTTTTCTGTAAACAACAGCGAAGCTTTTTTGTATCACTCCAAAGCAGAAGCTCTTGCTTTGCAAACCTGTAAGTACAGCTCTACGCTTCAAACACGCTCTCGTGTTACACCCTGGTCCTGCTCTTCGCAGAGCCCATCACCCAGGCTGCCGTTACAACGGGGATGCTGGCATGGCGGCAGCCTCGGATCCAGTCACCATCTGGGCAGGCGTGTGCCCAAGGAGGACTCCTCTCTCCTTCCCTGCTGATCCAGACGCTGTTTGCTGGGGGTCCCTCCTGTCCCACCTCGCAACAGGCAGAAAGATGCTCCTGCCACCAGCGAGTCCTCCTGCCCATCACCTGCAACGAGCAGCAGGAGCAGAGGCGGCAGGGGAAGAGCTGTGCCCCAGCCTCCACCGAAAACAAAGACTGATGGAGAAAGGTCGGTGGCTCAGTCTGGAGAACTTACTGAACTAAAAGCAAGCAAAAAAGATTTAATTTCTCAGCTCTCTGGCAACAAGCCAAAACTGTACGTTTTAATTCGTGAGCATGTCTGAAGTCAAACTGTCTGCTCCAGCCAGTAATCCATACGGGGAGTGACTGAAGGGGAACGGAGACAGGCTGCACAGCGCTCTGGCTGCTAGCCCTCACCAAAACTTGCCAAATCCCATGTTATTCTTTTCATTTAGCTCTCTGCTATTTAAAGGCAGCCCCATTGGGAGCACAGCCCCAGGCATCCCATCCCTGTGCTGCCGGGAACTCGGCACAGAGCTGGCTCTGAGCCGGCCGAGGCGGCCATCAGGTCTCCTGCAGCCCTGGAGGGACAAGGACAGTCTGCCGTTCTTCAGGGATGGATGCAGGGGACACAACAGTAACTCCCTTCCTGCATGGGACAACAGGAACCCCTGGACTGCTGGCTGATTTGGAATTGTGTCGTGTCTGAAGCGTTTTTCCTTTTCAGGGACAAGTGTGGTACCACCAGGACCAAACCCCGTGTCGTTAACTCATCTGACCCACCCCGACTGCGCAAAGGGATGCCCTGCCTCCTCGTGTCCAGAACAAGCAACGTCTCTGCTGGGGCAAATGCACTTCTTTTCCCATCTTTTCTGTTAACTCTTCAAGCATGTTTCTGGAAGAACCGGTTGGACTTAAGCTTGAAAAAAACCCCAAATCTCTCAACCATTTTATCAAAGCAGGGGTGATCTGCTCTACTGGAAACCACACGAATCCCTCAGCATGTTTCAAAATGTAAGAGGAATGAACATCAGAACTTCTTCAAAAAAATATTTTCCCTTTCCAATGTCTTAGAAGCCAGTATAAGTCTCTAAAACCTTCTCAAATATCCCTGAGTTACTGCCAAATAAGGTCAATATTATATTTGGCAAAGAATATGACACAAGAAAAACCACATGTGGGCTACTCTCCGCTCCCTCCGCGGTGATCCGGTGATCCGTGTGTGCTGCTCCCCAGCTCCCAGCCCACCGCCGCTCCCACCCTGCGGGGCTGCCGCTTCACACCACGCACGGGGGGAGCAGAAGCAGGAGAAATTGGGGAACCTTTCTGATCTGCTCTTGTAAAAAGTCTCCAAAGGTGACCCAAAGTTTTCAGAGATGCATTTAGGGACTTTAAAACATGAGAACACACTGAAACACCAGCCTTTGGCATTATTCCTCAGCTGCAAGAAGAACGTGTGGCTGGAAAATCACTAGGAGTTGGGACAGAAATCATCACCTACCGCTGCTCTGCACTCAGTATTTATAGAGGAGTCTGATTTATTGCCTCGTCCCCAAAATAAGACTCTATCCGTGTTCCTCAGGGTAACAGGAGACGAAACCCCACACCCGGGCAGGTCCCCCCGCCGCGGCTGCTCCTCACTGCAGGCATCATCCAGGGGAAGGGCAACGGGCTGCCGCTGCCTGGTCCTACGCAACAAACATTCCTAACCCTCTGCAACCCCTCCAGGCTTAAAAAATAAAAAGAGGCATAAATGTGATTTAAACTAATGATGTAACACAATCAGGAGAAGGAAAAGCACCGCAGCAGATGACCGAGTGGTGCAAGCAGCCACGGCTGCCTGCTCCCCCCAGCAGCATCTCGCAGCCCCCCGCAGCCACGGGGACAGAGCCCACCCCGGTGCCCCAGGACTCACCGGCCGACAGGAGATATTTCATCAGCAGTTTATCTGACAGAGAGAGCCAAAACCCCGCTTACTGTAAATCAACAATAACTTGCTGAGTGAACAAGCGTCTCTTATTTTCTCTGGCTGCACGAGCCAACCCCTCTGGCCTCACACAGAACTGGTGTGCAGCAGAGACATATCTGTAAATTACTCACTTGGGAAAAATAGGCCAAATTTATGATCTATGAATATTATTTGACTGCCCTATTATGGCAACAGGACGCTGTTGTCCTCTATGGCACAGCCCCCATTCATCCCTGAACAAGTTGTCAAGTTCACTCCCAGCACAAGTGATGAATGAGAGAAAATGTGACTCCGACAACGCACAGGATTAAAATTAGAACTAGAGTTAATCTAGAAGCACTGCTCTGACAACAGCAGGGGAACACCCACTGGCTCAGGACCTCCGCTCGACAGAGGGGTGACGCCAGGTGCAGGAGGGGAAGGTTGTGGTGAGATGCACCAGAGGCAGACGCCCATCCCCGTCACTGGCCAGGACCCATGGTGCTCCCTCTCCAAGGACACCACAGCCCCTAACGCCATTGCCAACAGTGCGCTGGTGCACCTAATAAATTGTGTTAGCACCGAGGAAGAACGGTGGCTTGCATTGGTCCATCACCCCCAACACCTGGAGCATTACCTTCAGCCGCCCGTTTGAAGAAGACTTTGCAGCTCCCACAGGTGAGGGCTCCGTAGTGGCACCCCGATGCCTCATCGCCACAGATCAGGCAAGTCTTCTGAGGTGGAAAGTAATAGTCAATGGGCAAGAGATGCTCGCGGCCGGCCTCCAACCTGCAGCGTGAAACAGAGAGAGAACAAAGGAGAGGGTCAGCACGGGGGGTTGGGACGGGCCCTCGGTGAGCACAGCGGAGGGTGCTTGGGGAGCGCTCACAGCAAAATCCAACATTTCAAGGGTGGGACAAGCCAAGCGCTGGTCAGAAGGGAGACAAGCAACAACCCAGCCGAGCCTTGCTCTGCCCAGGCAGCAGAGCCTGCTGGGGTGTCCCTCCTGACACCGCTCCTGGGTACAACGTGTGACAATGTGTGACAAAGCACCGGCACGGTGACAGCACAGCCTAGAAAGAGAAGATGACTGGGACTGGCTCTTGCAGTGTTCATGTGATTTTGGCTTCAACAGTGAGGCTTGTACGTCAAACGAGGACTCTGCACACTCATTACGCTACACGATCCCACTCCATTCAGGCCACTGGTGTCACTGCACTACAGAGGGATTTATCCTTTTGATTCTTAATTTAAACAAATTAGTTTTTCCTAAGCTATCAAACACCCTTCAGATCTGCAGAGAAGCTGCTTTTGGCAGCAGGGGAGGTGCTGAGCAGAATTACAAGTCACCGCATGCCCGGGCAGTGTGGGGAGCAACAGCATTTTAAGTGATTTGCTAAAACCGGCTTTTTGTCAAAGCACCAGATGAGGCAATTAGCTTCTAACAGTCAGCAGGTCACCACAACTTTTTGGTCAAAATTAGAGCTGCTTTTGGTTTCTGGTATTGTTTGAATGCTTGCAGGTGAGCTCTTGGAAATCTAATTATATGAAGAGCGAATGTGACAGTGCCGGGAGTTCTTGTGAAAATTCTTTATTCTCCAAAAAGCCCCATTTGGGCCCACAGTGTGAATAGACCCAAAATCCACTGGAACAGCAGACAGCCCTGGGAGAGACAACAGCCTGAACCCACACTGTGCATCTTCTGAGAAGTCTTGCAACTTGTAGAAGAAGGGGTTGAACCCCAGCACAGACTCCAGGGCGAGGAAAGGCTGTCCTGGTGCTCAGCCCCTGGCCCCAAACTGCTGCTCAGTGCTGCCTGGGCTGGGGCCGCTGCAGTCACCAGGCAGGTGGTCCCACGCCATCCCACATGGTCCCCCACAGTCCCACGCAGTCCCCCACCCCATCTCCATAGTCCCAGAATGCCGGGAGACCCTGCAGCCTGCCCTCGCACAAGCAGCAGTCCCAGGGATGTTACTGGTGGTGGAGGAGCTTGAGGAGCATCGCTCTTCAGGAGACCTGGGCCAGGACAACGATGCGCTCGCGTAGGGGCAGCTGCCTGGTTATCATCTTCTGCTCAAATATTTTAATTCTGGTAATAAGAGTAGCTTCTTTAGTCCAGACGATCCATCCCCTTTTGTTCCACTTCCCAAGAGACATAAATTAAACTGAGGAGAGAGAGGTTTTAAATGAGAAAGTGTTCCCTCGAGAACAGATGAGGAACCAACCAATATTTCACTGGTTTAAGTCATACCACAGGTTGAAAAATACTTTCTGGGGCAGCCAGGACTTAAGGGACTGCTGGTGTTGTTACGTGAACAACTACCTGGGATGCTTGATTCTAACCATGGACAAACTCTGTTACCGGAGCACTGCTGCAGTTGCCTTTCACACAGGTCAGGGCTCTTTGCTGCAGGACAAAGGTCTTTTCTAAGCCCTCGCACCTTGAAACTAAAGCATGAAATGGGACAATTAATGGTGAGATCAAAGCCCAGGCTCACCTCTCTCCCCTGACCCTGCTGTCGGCTCAGGAACGCTGCTATCTCCTGTCCCCCACGAGAGCTATGCAGATCCTGCCTGAATTGTGGGTTAATAACTGGAGCAGCAATTTCATCCTCTGTTCTTAAGGCAAGAAACATTTTGTGTGATTTCTTGCCTTTTTAGCAGCAGCAATCAGGGCCAATGACTCATCTCCAGACACTGCTCAGCTATCCTTCCCCTACAGTCTCATTTTCCACAGCTTTCTTGAATTCCTGACTAAATGGAGCAGATACAGTCGGCTGCAACATATCTGCTGTAGTTAAGTCTTGATGCAACAAACATCCCCCTGCCTTGCCCCCCCAGCATCCCGCCCATCCTCCCGCGCCGTCCCACTGTCCCATCCCCGCCGGGGCCGAGGACACCCCTGCACCCCCCGCGTCACATCTGCACCAGCACCCAATGCCGCACAGCCCGGGCACCGCGCTGGGGTGCTGCTGCAGCGCCGACACTGCTGAGAAATAACCTGCAGCAGACCTAAAAGCTTTGCTAAAAATGTCTGGTTTAGCCAGCACTTTTTCAGACTCCAGCAGTACCAGACCTTCCCTCTAATGACCCATCACCTGTTTTCTCCTCTCTGTGCCATCAGAAATCTGAAAAGGGCTACTGCATCCTCCTCCGTCAGGCCCTGCACACCTCCCTTCCCCTGTGCTCTACACAACACATCTCAGATGGGAAACGAGCAGAAGCGACTCTCGCAGTAGCAGCTGCTGTGATAACAGAACCAGGACCCCCAGAAGGCCCTGGAGTATTTTTGAGGCTTAATTATTTAAAGCTGCAAAGTAGGCTAGCAATTAAGGCTGGAGTGGCTTTTTAAACAGCTTTTTAAATAGCTGCTTCTCCACGAGGAGAGTTGTGCAAGTACAAAAATACCTTCATGCACCGTGTGCATCTACCGTACACATATACACGTGCACCTTGCCAGGCTCTCCCTGCAGACCCCCTCTGCTCCGCCAGCCTCACCCCCGGCTGCCCGCCCACGGATGGGAACCCGCGGGAGTTGACAGACGCTCAAGGTTAATCCCAGCTGTGAGACGGCTCATCCCGGGTGTAAAGCTCCTGCCTTCGGGCTTTGCACAGGGCAGGCTCAGCCCAGCCTCCCACTGCATCGGGAGAGGGATGCTTCTCGCCCCAGATCCCTCCTGCACCTTCGCTGCTCCAGCCACTGGCCACAGCGGGGAGGGATTCGCCCAGAACATCCTTGATTTTAAAAAGACACCAATTTGCTTTTTCTTTTTTATTTTAGGAAGAAAATTGTAAGTAAAACGTAACTTTAAAAATGGGCAATTCAGAGTGAGCTGTGATAATGGCACCTTTAACGATCTATTTTCCAGTTTCCAACAGACCTTTTAAGGGCGTTCTCAAAACATGTAGGTAATAACACTGCAATGAGCCAAA